TAGTATAGTATGTTGATGAAAATCATGAAAAAAAGTCATAGTATAGTATGTTAACCAAAATCATCAAAAGAAGTCATAGTATAGTATGTTGATGAAAATCATGAAAAAAGTCATAGTATAGTATGTCGTCCAAAATCATGAAAAGACGTCATAGTATAGTATGTTGATGAAAATCATGAAAAGACGTCATAGTATAGTATGTTGATGAAAATCATGAAAAAAGTCATAGTATAGTATGTCATCCAAAATCATGAAAAAAGGCATAGTATAGTATGTCGTCCAAAATCATGAAAAAAAGTCATAGTACAGTATGTCGTCCAAAATCATGAAAAAAAGTCATAGTACAGTATGTCGTCCAAAATCATGAAAAAAGTCTTAGTATTACTATCAAAATCGTGAAAAAAAAGTTATGGTATAGTATTGCTATCAAAATCGTGAAAAAAAAAGTCATTGTATAGTATTACTATCAAAATTATGAAAAAAAGTCATAGTATTACTATCAAAATCATGAAAAAAAAGTCACAATGTAGTATTACTATCAAAATCGTGAAAAAAAAAAGTCATGGCACAGTATGTCGACCAAAATCATGTTGATCAAAATCATGAAAAAAAAAAGTCATGGCATATTATGTATTATATTTGGTTGACATATTATGCTATGACTTTTTTTTACATGATTTGGGTGGACATACGATACTTTGACTTTTTTCATGATTTTGGTCAACATATACTGACTTTTTCTTAATGATTTTGGGTTGGCGTGCTATATGCTGACTTTTTTCACGATTTTGATAGTAATACTATACTATGACTTTTTTCATGATTTTGATAGTAATACTATACTATGACTTTTTTCATGATTTGGGATGACGTAGTATGCTATGACTTTTTTCATTCTTTTGATCGACATACTATACTGACTTTTTTTCATGATTTTGGACAACATACTATCACATGACTTTTTTTTCATGATTTCGATAGTAATACTATACTATGACTTCCTTTCATGATTTGGGACGACATACTATACTATGACATTTTTTCATGATTTTGGTCGACATACTGTGCCATGACTTTTTTCATGATTTTGATCAACATACTATACCATGACTTTTTTCCATGTTTTGGGATGACACAGTATACTATGACTTTTTTTCATGAATTTGGTCAATATACTGTACCATGACGTCTTCATGATTTGGGACGACATATCACACTATTTTTTTTCCACCATTTTGATAGTAATAGTATACTATGACTTTTTTTCATGATTTGGGCCGACATACTATAGTATAAGTCAAGTCCATACTTAGAGCTGTTTATCATAGACTTACTGTGATGCTTTCATCACATATTATACCATGACCTTTAATGGTGTACTGCACTGACTTTTCATCACATGCTATACCATCACTTATTATGACATACCATACACTGCCATGGACCCATACAGTGTAGGGCAGTGGCAAATAATGAGAACACAACACTTGTTGATAAAACTTTTTGTTTTTACAATGGGTTGGTGTGGGTGGGGAGGAGGGGAGGGGGATGAGTGTTGGGAGAATATGTATTTTTAGAAAGATAAACAGATGAAAGTTCATTTGACAACTGTGTCCACTTTTTTCTCCCCACTCAAGCCCTGAGCTTCACAACTACCCTCCGCCCTATCGCATGAGTACTTTAAAACAAACAAGAAAATAATAAACAAACACATTAAGCAACACACTAGCAAATGACAGAAAGAAAAAATACATTCTTAAATATTTACATGATTTGACACGTTGATGAAAAGGATGACCTGCCATGTTACACTACAATTTGCACACACACTGACATATATGGCTACAAACTACAAATACCTTATAACATAGCATATCAACCAATCGTACCTGAGGCTGCCCTTCTTGCTATAAAATCTATATGTGGCTGCCATATTTAAAAATAAATAAATAAAACTTTTTTTTTTGTGAATTAGAGCAAATAAGAATAATCTATATAACTGAGATGTGAACATCTCCCATTCTCTCACTATATCCTCCTCTTAGTCATTATACCATCACATATTACAGTAACACATGAAAATTATTCATGGCTAACATTAGCTACCTAACATAAGTTTCACGTACAGGCTATAAACTCACAACTGTCTTCAATGTACTTGCAGAGGTCAGAAGAGGAGTTTTGAAAAGTCAAGATTTTTTAGGAGACACGAGCACTTAATCATGTAACCGTGGTCTCTTTTAGATTTTGGTGTAAAAGTGCGGCCAGATGTAAGCAGGGATAGTCGCTGGAGGCTGCATCTTATTCTGGGTTCTGCTCCGTCATCATCATCGTCGCTGTCAGGCTGTTGGTGTTTCTTTTTCTTCCAGGCAGCTGACACTTGGCATCTGCTGTAGAGGTTTTCCAGTCCACGCGCATTCCTCTTCACAGTCAGTCCCTACATTTAGATCAGACTACTTGTAACAAAATGGCAAATGTAGTGAAGCAAAAAGCAGATTACTGAACAAAAAATAAATACTATACTGTGATTTTGTTATGGCATTCTATAACAGGAAAAGTGTAAACATAAAACAAAATGTCTTCTCCATCTCATTTCCACATTAAACCGCCCAGTTGTCAATTAAAATAGCTAACATAATTCCTGTGATACTTGCGAGGTGCCACTAAAAGCTTGTCACAAATTGTCAGTCTTATCCTGACAGGTGCTCGTTAGTGCACAGTGTGATGTAGTGGCTGAGGAGTGAAATAAATCTAAGCTACTGAAAGCAAAAGTATCAAAATGAACCATGGATGATGAAAATATATTGAAAAACAAACAAAACACCGTCACTCTCAGATAAATTAACTTATCTTATGTGGGCATGATGAACTGAAACGGATGCGTTTCAGCTACAAACCCGTCTGTTTCTGTTGAAGTTAATTTATCCTAGGGTGCTGGCATTCTATTTGTTTTTGGATCCTATCCACAACCATGCACCACTATATAGTGTTCAAGATTTTTTGGAGTTGGAGTTGTGCATGCTGCTACTTTTTTCATTCAGAGGCTGCACAAAATGTTTCTGAAGGCCGTCACTGGCCCACGGGCCGCACTTTGAGGTGTTGTAATGTGATGTAATCTCCACCCACATATTCAGACATAAATCAATGATTATATCAATGGGTCTTTGGAACCATGCTGAGAAGCTTTAGCCTCTTTTCAAAGGGAATGTAACTGGAAAAGTGCCAGACTGGAATTCAAAACCAAGGGACAAAATATCCATAAATACAGAAGCTTCACATTTTCAAATACAGTGATCATAATTAATGACATAATGATGAACTATAGTCTTACACAACCAGATAATGTAAGACTGATGGCGACTTTTACTCTCTCAGCTCTCCCTCTGTTTCTTGTCTAAGAAATGAGAAATCTACTATAATCGATTTGAACACACCTGTTTAGCAGCAGAACCTCTCTCATCTCTCTCAAAGCAATTACATGATCAAAGACAGGGAGCGCAATCAATGTCCAAAGTAATTGGTCTTACCTGCCATGCAACCCCTGTTAGAAAACTATTATAGCTAACTGCTGTTCTGGTCATCTCAGCAGCTGTCCAATCACATCAGGTTGAGAGGTTCCTGGAGTGTCCCGTCCCCCCCCCCCACCCCAACAGCCTCGGCCTTAGTACTTATCAGCCAGAATCAGAGAGCGAGAGATGAGCCGGCTCTACAGCGAGGTCCGTCTTTATGACTTACAGTGTCTTGATTAAAGTGGATTGTAATCTCATCAGATGTTTGATCCATAGGGCTCCTCTGCCCTGCAGCACACACTAATGGATAAAGATTGTGTGAAGTTATTGGTAAACCAGCGGCAAGTTGCTGAAATATTGATGTCAGGCTAAATAGTGAAATAAGCAGCTGATGTTCATGGTGTATTCTACTGTTCTGTCAATTTCTATTAGTTTAGTTTATTTGCAAATATATTTATAGAAATACAGGAAAAAGCAAATTAAAGTCCTTTTCAGATGTTTTTTGAATAACGATAATGAAGATGATGATTGTCATGATGGTCCAGGCAGTATTACAATACATAAAATGAGGTTAAATTAAACTATAGTAAAAAGTTAGAATACAATAATGATCGACCAGTACACAAACTCTACTTATGATACCAGTTGACTTCATAGTCATTTAACAGACACGTTCAATATGGTATTTTCAAAATTTTGGCTTTATCTTTGTTATATTTTTTATTTTTGTTAAAAAAATATATCATGATGTTTGATTTTTCCATATTGAAAGAGAGTTTGTTCATCTGTAACCATTTAGAAATAGATGATAGCTCCTCATTTTCTTCTCAAATGCTTAAATTTTCACGTGAAGATATTAGACATGTATCAGCAAATAAAAAAGGTAGTGCACGTTTGCAGACCCTGGGTAGGTCATTTATGTAAATCAAGACCAAGAGATTTAAAATTAAAAACAGGTATTATTAGAAATGACTCAGTATGAATCATTTGATATTTTAGGATACATAGTTTTATTTATTTTAATGCTGAGGGTTAGATGAGAAAATTGATACCACTCACATATTTATATAGATGAATTTGTAAGTATGGACTTGGAACCATGAGACCTTAAGCTTAGTTTAGCTGAGAACAGCGTGAAACAGCTTGGGAGATATATGCTGTAACTAATTCTTGATGAGCAACAGTTTATCTGTCTCTGCTGATTGATTTGAAACCAAGACAAATCTGATGTTGTGGATAGTAAATAATTGTCTCGTACTCAGATAGAATACAACCCTCGCCTTTTCAAATGTAATTCAGGTTATCTACAGGTATCAGACGATTAAATTTTATGCTTTTCAAGATTATTTTTTACCAGATTTAGGCGTTATTTTTTGGACAAATCATCTTGAAGCACTGCAGTTAAGTATAAAGTAGTGTATATATGGTCCCCTGCAGAGGTAGGTTTTATGTGGGGATATGGTTGTTAGGGTGAACAAGGTTTATCTACATTTTGCCAATAGAAAAGTATAACATAAAAAGACAGTATTAAACGGTGACTGAGAGAGGTCACAACACACGCAAACTCCACAACACCTGCAAATCCACACAACACATTTAGAAAACACATTCATCAATTTTGCAACACATACGCTGCAAATCCTCACAACACAAGCAAATGAGATAACGTGATGCAAATGCTCACAACACAGGCAAGAAGCTGAACGCTCCACAAAAACAAAAACACACGCCAAATTGAAGACAACGGAAATGTTTCCAAGGGGGCCGTAATCACTCACAGACCTGCTTTTGGCCGCCAAAATCGTCTTAGATAATTGCACTTACTTGTCTTCCACCTATAGCAAATGTTAAACTTCCGAACAGCATCTTGAGGAAAGTCTGGAAATGTCAACAACCAGTAAGTTTGTCACTGATTACGGTCCCCCTGGAAACATTTCCATTGTCGTCTTCATGTTGACGTGTGTTTTTGTTTTTGCGGCGCGTTCAGCTTCTTGCCTGTGTTGTGAGCATTTGCACCGCATTATCTCATTTGCTTGTGTTGTGAGGATTTGCAGGTGTTGTGGAGTTTGCATGTGTTGTGACCTCTCTTGGCCACCATAGTATTAGGTTCAGAGGTGAGACTGGTGTCTGAATGTGTGGAAAAGGCATGTACCAAACAATGCACATCTACTGTACATCTACTATACATGTGTGCATGTTCACAATCCATTGACACTAAATGTGGAAAAAAGGTCAGGTATGTGTCCCATTATTAATCAATTAATCTACTACTTGAGATTTTATCACTACAAGATACCACTGATAGTAAATTGGATGAACTGAGATTTTAAAGTAAACAGAAGCTGCTGTGAATCACTATATTTTGATTTGCAGGAGATAATGGAGATTTGCTGGATGAATTTCAGCATATTGCATGGCGGTGGGCCAGTGAGGCGTGAAAATTGTAATAAATCAAGCCAGACATGAAATGCAGCGCTGTATGTTTAGAGGACAGCCATTCACACCAGCATCTGTCTCGCAGTATTTGCAGCCTATTACTTGTGATGCTCCAATGTAATCCGTCTTGCTTTGTCACACCATGAACACACTGAGGGCCTAAAACGTCTTCCCATCATGGTTCATTCCTCTCATACAGTACACGACACACACATCATCGTATTCCAGTCATGTGAAAATGATTCTGAAAACTGTTGGCTTTTCAAAGGGATTGTCTTTCTCGCGCTGGGCCTTGGCGTAGCAAATTGGTCTTCATGGCAGGAGACAGTATGGGATTTTTTTTTTTTTTTTTTGTGAGGCAGGGCTCATTGGGATTGCCATTTCTTTTGATGTTATGTCATGCAATGGCATTTCAAGGGGGAAATATGTTCCTTTGTAGAAGACAGTCCAGGCAGGCAGGCAGTGACAAAGGCAGCTCCAATCAAATCAGACACATAATTAAAAGTTCTGAGAGGCCCGAAACTCGCAAGGTCAACTTAAAAACGGCGAAGAATAAAACTATTTCATAAAGAGATTAACACCTGGAAGAACTGACGGATGCACGTTGTGATGACATTGGAGCAGCTGTCTGCGTTTTGATCTGTAGATAAACAGTGCTGCAGATGAAGCCATTTGTATAGATGAAATAATACCAAGGGGAGAAAAAAAAAATCACTGAAATATAAGTCTGGCAGTGTCAGCGACAGAGTAGTTATGGCTTGGTGCCTGTGAGACTGTTTAGTAGGAGTTCAAATTAATCTTTGAGCCTCTTCTGAGACAGTGCTGGTGCAAGCAGAAAGGACATATTTGCATACAATTGTTAGTCAGGTAGTTGTTTTGTTGGTGTTGCCCAAAATGTAATGCAGACTGCATTAGAGTAGATATAATGTTAAAGATTCATAGTGTACTAAATGGAAGCCCATTTACGCCAATGTGATGAAAAATAAAATCCTGTAAGTAGGAGTGGGGGAAATAATCGATTCTTAGATGCAGCGTGATGTTTATTTAGTGATGATGACAGAGAGAAGGAGGCAGTGTAGCACCAGTAACTTGTATTCACCTTCATGTAAGGTAGCAGGTTGCATGTTTTAATTTAATGTTTAAATAATTACAATTGACCCTATGCTATGTCCCGCCCCCGGCGCAAACTGGCCAATCATAACGTAGCATCAGACCGGCTCAGACCAGGGTCCGACAACAACACGGCTGTGCTCCATTGACTCTAATGCAGTTGTTTCAGATTTCCTTCATTTTCAGGCTGGTTTTGTGGATTTAGAGCTAAATGTTGTGCCTGGGGCACGTTGTGTATTAATGATACTCGTTACCTGGAGAGGTTGGAAAAAGATATACATTTCTTCCCTGTTCCAAAACCAAAATCAAACCCTGAAAAGTGTAGGGTTAGCTAGCTAGCTACTGAAGATATAGCCTACTGAATGTATACACATGCTGCTTT